GGGAGAGGGACACTTTGTCCATAAGTGGGTTTCATGCTGCATGTTCAGAGTAGCTGCTTGAAGGTGTCCTGGGTTCCATTCGCAGCGAACCCGTGAATGCAAGTATTCAGCAGGAGAGGGTTGGATGGGCTGGATGGAAGACTAGACGAATATGCAATACTCGCCCAAACCCTGAGCTTATTGCAGCTTTCTCTCGCAAGGAAGCGTCTTTGCTGGCACCTTTTACGCATCCACTTTTTGCCCAAGTGACGGCATGGGGCCTAGATACAAATAATGTGCCACACACACCCCATGAGCTGCCACACCCCCTCAACCCTCTTCTGGAGTGCGCAGGTGAAGCCGCACGGTGTTTTAGGGGCTGGAGCTGGAGTGGCACCTTTCACAGAGATTCCTGCAGCACTTCGGCCGCAAAATGTACACAGGCCATGCGGGCGTACATGACATGATCTTCTTGTCCTATGTTGTCCTTCTTCCAAGAGCAGGTTGAACATTTTTAGTTTGAGCTGTCGAGGTCGTAGTGGATCCTGCTGGCTGGAGATTCGTTGGAAAGACAGGTGAGGTGAAAGGAGCAGGGGGTGCTGCTGGTGCAATCTATGATTGGTCACGCAGATGCATATGTGATATGTACATGATCTACATTAGACAACAGATGTACCGCCACCATGGCCCTTCTGAATGAGAGATTGGCAGCTTTTGAATGTTGGGAGCCGGCCATGAGGTTGGGACTCAAAAAGACTGGTGGGAAATTCCCGGCAGAAGTTCGAGAGCATTTCAGCACGCATACCGTTACGCAGCAGCATTTAGAAGGTGTAGATGGTGAGAGCTCGTGCTTACTGACATGGACAAAAGTTGCTGGACGAGCCAAACCGTCCTGCTGAAACCTTGTGTGTGTTCTAGTTCAGGAAGAAGAAGCCGAGCCTTGGCTTGATGTATAATGCTGTAAGAAACAGGAGGATGTCTTGCCAAGTCAGTGTGGTGTTCTTGTGAGGAGACTCGTGCGAAGTTCTTCGCATACAACCAGGGCATGCACGTCATCCATGTGGTCGGACCAAAGATTCGATCAATCCAGAATGCTTTGCATGATTTGTCACGAGCCCTGGATGTGATTCTTCAGTGCAATGTGCACCAGGAAGCTGTTCAAAATGTTTGAAGATGCAGTGTCCTAGATAAAGTACTTCTACAAACAATCCACTTGTTCAGGAACGTACGTGAACGTGTTCGATGAGTTCTGCAAGGTCTATGAGGGCCCTGCAACGACCAGCAGACCAACATCGCAGGTAGGACCTGAGTTTTCGGATCATCATCAGCAGTGGGCAAAAGGGAATTTTAAGTCTGTTGCACTTGCAGTTCCAGTGCGCTCTGTTTTGCATTTGGCTTTGTAAGGTGTTGCGCCTGCTGCCGATTTCATCTGGCATTTTCTTACAAAACAGAAAGCCGCTTGGCCTCGACCCCCCACTATCCATTGTCAACATGCACCACACTTTCTCAGCCAAAGTTTCAGTCTCCCTCTGCACTCCCCTTCCAAATCCCTATCTTTTCCGGCAGTTGTACTATCTTGCCATTCCAAATCACGCTAGTTTCTTTTCAATGACTGAGGCTTGAGCGATACATGGCAGAGATCACATGGAGTTCCATTGTTCTTGCCTTTGGTATGATGCCAACCGCTCAACAAGAAATCCTGCGGAATTCGTCCATTGAAGTTTGCATTTTCAAGAAGGCAGAGTTCAAGTTATACGAACAAAAGCTCAAAGAGAAGAAGAACTTGCTGGATAGCTCTATGGCAAACAAATTGAAGCTCACAGAGACCTTCGGTGCAGTGCCGGACAAAGGTGGCTTCGATTGGGTTCGTACCAAGAACATGCCCACTGATCGCCTTGAACGCCTAGCATGCTTTACCCGCACAGCACATGCGTTGGCAGCGCAGGGCTTCACTTCCCAAGCAGGAGAAGTAAAGCTAGAGCTTCAACCAACGATTTCCGGTACCGAAGTGGTGAGAGCAAGCGCCTTCAATGGCACAGGAAGCGGAAGGAAACTTTTGCATCATGAGAATCTGACAGTCATGGAGGTGGCCCTAAAGACTCAGTCTTCTGGAAAGATGACCATGGCTGTGAATGCAGCATCTGCTTATCAAGTTGGAGGAGGGGTCATGAGTGGAGGTCGCCATGCCTTGGAAGAAACCTGGTGTACAATGTCTACTCTACTTCCCTCGTTGCAAAAGGTTCAATGGCAGGATCGCCGAGACACTTCTCATGCCCCGCCAGGTGAGGAGCGTTCTAAATTCACCCTTTCTTTTTTAGTCAGGGACCGGCGAACAATAAGTGAAAACAGTGATTTTAGCTGATGTTTGTAAGGTGTCCGTAAGGTTTGCCGTAAGGATGTGCAGGTTTGAACGATGCCGTAAGCGAAGTTTGTTTACTTTGATTCTGTTTCCTTTCCTGTTTTGCAACAACATACCACATGTGACCACAGTGAACTTGCATACCTCCGCCGTAAGCACAACGTAAGAATAGTCATGCATGTGCCACCGTAAGCAACACATAGAAACACGTAAGCCTTGCGTAAGGCCTACCGTAAGGCTTGATTTCTATGTAAGAAAAGACAACACAATTTTGGACACCGCTCAGGTGGCCATCACCTACACCAGCACATTCCAGTGGATGCGTGCGTTTTGAGCCCGGCTATCCAGGTCTTTAGAGACACCAGTGCCAAGGGATACCGTTTTCAAGAGCGGCCTGTCACCCTTACCGGTGTTTGCAGCATGGCTATGTTCAACATGAACTCCCGGGTGGCAGACAGCCCACTAGATGCTCCTCGTGAGTTCACTGAGTACTGCAAGCAGGTGAAGGACAAGTTTAAGGCTGCCATGGCCTGCATGCTAAAGCTCAAGGCAACTGTGCTTGTTTGTCCAGATGTTGGCTGTGGCGTCTTCGAGAATGACCCTGAAGTTATGGGCTGCTTGCTTGGCGAGGTTGTTCTGGACTATCCCGGGGACCTTGAGGTGATCGCAACAGGGAAACCGGCCTTCTTTGATGCTTTGCGCAAGACCGTTGAGGCTGATCCCAAGCTTCCGCTCAGAGCAACAGGGGCTGCACCAGCCTCCTTTGAAAAGCTGAAGGCTGCGCCTCCCAAGGCTGCGCCTCCCAAGGCTGCGCCGTATGCACCAAAGGCCAAGGCAAAGAGTGCTCCTGGGACAAGTGCACCAAGTGGAGCAAGTGCATCTGGACCCCCATTGGTCAGAGCCTCGAGAAGCAACGACATGACTTTTTATTGGCCACTTCCTTTTGTCCTTGTGAGGCGGAAGCCAAAGCAGTGTCACCAGCGGCCCCAAGTGCACCAAAAGCTAAGGCCTGCTTGAAGCATTCAATAGCTTTACACATGTAAACGTTCTTAAGACCCACCACCAAGTAAGCACAGGCCAAGTCAGGAGCAGTGCAAGCGAAAGCATCACCGAAGGCCCTTGGCCTCAGCTTCGTTCTGGTACTGCTTGCTAAGTTCTTGTATTTGATTTCCGTTTGGTTGATGTCCAAGGCTGCACCAATGAGCTGATATAGAGAGCTTGCACATTAGGTTGAATATTCGCCAAATGACTGGTTTCCCAGCAATGACTTAGCAACTTGCACAACCCCTCCATATGTGAAGTGCTTCGGAACCCAGCCGCATGGGCTATGTGGCGAGCTTGAAGCTTAATTCAGCTTGTGGTGAAGACCCCAAGCTGGTCCAGTGCTTGCATCAAGTGGCTGCAACAGATTTGCTATGATGTGTTCCAGCTCTTTAAGGTCACATAAGTCATATGTTTGATCATCTTTGTGATTGATGCTGAGGTGGTTGTAGCGCTGGTTGTGATATTTTTCCTCGAATAACGCAGAACTACATATATACAGTAATTTAGAATATTTGATCTTAAGAAGCTCAATCGTCACAAGGGGCACATTTTCGGGTCAGTTCTATTTAACCAGGCTAGCGCCTGGCAGCCGCCGACCCCCAGGGAAGTGGATGGCCTAGGTTTAATGGGTTAAGATTTTTTTTTTGAAAAATCGAGCACGGCAAATGGGTTAGCATTTTTCCTTGAAAATCTGGGAACCCAAAAGCCTCCACCGGCACACTTGCAGAATGCGAGCACAGCACTAGAAAAGAGCAGAGAAAGCTTGCACGTGCGGAGCGCATAGAGGAGAAACTCCTAGAAAAAACCCTTGAAAGCACCTTAGAAAAAAGAGTGGAAAATCTCAGGAAACCACAGAACTTCCTATAAAAGCCATAGAAAATCCTAGAAAAACCATCGAAAAAGGCATGCGTAAATCTTACAAAAACCTTTGAAAATCCTAGCAGTCCAGCGGAAAACGTTACAAAACCTAGGAAAAGCCAAGGGCACTGGCAGGGACCAGGCCGCAACCAGGCCGGGATTCGAGCCCGGGACCATTTAGGGACCGTGCTTATTTTCCCCTGCGGGTGGAGAGGCTCCAAGATGTAAATCAATTGGGATGGAGAAATCTTGGACAATTTTTGGCTACTTTTCGTCACTTCAGCAAAGCTCTGGAGGGGTAGGGGAGGTATAGCCTTAATCATAGCCTTAGCCTTAATCAACAGTCACGCCTGACCCCACGAGTGGGGCCGGCGGATTTCTCATCCCGCTTGTCACCGACACCACTGCAACACTGCTTAACACTTAGGAACCTCATCCACCAGTGACGACACAAAAGCCAGCAATTCCATCTGTCGTTTCACGCTAGCATGTCTAATACATGTCTCACTTACCTACCGTTTGGCTCAAGGAAAGCCAGGTGCGACTTGTTGGTACTTTTCGGTCGTTCGCCTGTAACTACAGGTTATCAGCCGTATCGCCATAAGTGCGGTACGTGCTTACTACTAGCTTTGGTCTCACCCCACCGTAGATAGTGCACTATCTAGAGGCCATGGCTGATGACGAAAGTTCCCGTGGTGACCGCTCACGTTCAGGCTACGTTCCCACTTCGCCTGCGATGTCCAGCTCACCTGCTCTGGAGCTCCCTGTTGTTCCGCTGGAGTTTCGTGCGCCAAATGTGCCACTGATGCTCAGTGCACAGGGGGACCTGCTGCCTAGTGTTCAAGCTCCGTCGCCTTTTCAGCCTGAGTTTTCTCCTGTGATGAATGTCCAGAACGTTGATGCGAGACAAATTCATCAACAAGCAGTTTTCGTCAATGAGGATAGGTCAGCTCAGGTAGCTCAGATTGCTGAATTGCGACATCAGGCCATTTTGGCCGAGCATGGGCAACAAGTAGCAGATGATGCTAGGCAATATAGAGACTTAGTGGAGAACCAAGCTAGAGTGGCTGTCCAGGAGTCTAGGGAACAAATCGAGGCTTTAGCCAGTCAACGGTTGAGTGACATGAACCAAGCCCACCAAAATCAACAAATCCATGATCAAAGGGCTTATTTAGATCGCATTTCGCTCGAACGACACGCCGTCGTCGAGAACGAACGCGCCTCTGCCAAGCAAAGAGAGGATGCACTTCGGTCAGAGTTAGCTGAACAGAGTCGAATCATTAAGGAGTTACGAGAAAGATTTGACAACGCCTCGGGGAACCGAGTGCCTGCGCCATCAGTGCAGCCACCTGGATCCCAAGGATCCCCAGCTTTGCCTCCGGCGAGCCTTCGTACTCAGTTGGAGAAGCCCGGGATCGAAGGCGGTGACAAACCTCATCCATCCGATGCTGATGAAGAAGGTGATGACAAATCCAAGAAAGACAAGAAGAAGAAAGGAAAAGAGAAGAAGAAAGAGAAGAGCCCAAAGAGGGGCCGCTCGAGAGAACGGAGGAAGAAGCGTTCTCCTTCTCCATCACCTTCGTCACCCAGCTCATCAAGAGGGAGTGATGACTCCAACGGCTCAAGCTCTGAATCATCACGTCTTGCACGCATCATCCGCAAGGAGCTGAAGAAGCAGCAGAGGAAGTCAAAAGACAGGGATCATGAGAGCAAAGCCAAAGAGGCTGATAAAGCTCTCATTCCCAAGTTTCCCACGCCTGAGAAGTACAGAGATTGGAAGATCAAGGTGAGGGACAACATTGCTGCAGCTTCAGCCAAACCAGATGAAGCCAGGACTTGGGTTGGGAAGTATACAAAGATTCCCAAACCATTGGCGCCTTGGATGATTCAGAGGGTTTTGCCACCCTTGACGCAAAGCTTCTTGCAAGCTTGACCAACTGCGCTGAGGGGGACCTTGGTCGTCAGATTGCTACCTTCAAGGAGCTGCGTGCTCGTGAAGACAAGAATGTGAAGGGAAGACATTTGCTTCTTCGCTTTCACGAGTACTTTGCTACAAGCATCAAGCATGGTGCGATCTATGGTCTTGAAGACCTTATGTCCGTCAAGATGATCAATGATGACCTCAAGGGCTTTATCAACAAGTGGGACAGTGTTCTGGCTGGAATGAAGAAAGAATCAGAAAACAGTGTCCTAGAAGCTTACTTCCATCTGGCAGTGAAACGCTTCAAACCCCTTGAGCATGACCTGGCCTTGTACGATCGTGCAGCTGATGGAAGCAAGGAAAGATCATACGACTTCCTGATCACGGCCGCAAGGGCCTATCTTGAACGGAAAAGGCTTGAGAAGATGCGAGATGCCACGAAGCGTTCGCTCGGGGCCAAAGATACAACCATGCCTGCTCCAGAAGAAAAGAAGGGAGTATGTTTTGACTTCCAGAAGACCGGAAAATGCAAGCGCGGATCATCATGTCCTTACAAGCACGAAAAAGGCCGCGAGAAAAGCAAAGGAAAGGGAAAGGGCAAGGATCGCAGTCAGTCTCGATCAAGATCACTGACGCCAGGATCCCGCAAGGAGACTTGCAAATTCTGGAAAGCAGGACATTGTCATCGAGGCAAAGACTGTGCGTTCCAGCACCCTGAAAAGACTGTCCCTGCGAAGAAAGAGGACAAGAAGAAGAAGAAGAAAGATAAGAAACCTCGCAAGCGAAGCAGCTCACGAGGATCGTCAGGCTCCGAAGGAAAGGTGGGAAATCTTCTTCTTCCAATGCACCGGCAGCGGTCTGCCTCCTACGAGCAGTGGTCATGGCCGCAGTGGTCTCTCAAGGATCCTCCGTCCTCATCACTCGCCCGCTGGGAAGCGTGGCCGTGCCAGTCCTTTCCGCATCAAACACTATGTGCACCGATTTTGACAACGCAGAAAACATTGACAGTTTTGTTACGCAAAGAGTTCGTTTTGACGATCAACCAAACATTTTTAGTCATGCTGTTGAGTCTTCTTCCAGTTGGAGATCCGTTCAACCCCGAAGTAAGAAGAAACGAAGATCCTTTACACCAGGTCGACCGGAGCATGCTGAAGCAGTTCGTGTCGCTACTGAAGATGCGTCCATTGCAGCCTCACACCTTCAGAATGCTGTTAGGAACGAGCTTTTGTCCTTGCCGGCGGAATGTTCGTACCTGTGCAACTCCGATTAGGTTGCATCAAGTGTTTTGAGAAGAGGTCATGTCCAACAGTGCCTGCCACTGAGATTGCATGGATCGCTGACACTGGGAGTGCGCACGATCTTGTGTCTAGGCACATGCTTCATTCGGATGAAGTGTCTCAGTCGTCCAAACCGGTCAGTCTTCTTACTGCCAATGGAGTCTTTCAAGCCACTGACCAAGCCAGAGTCAATGTCCCCGTGTTGGGAGCTGACATCAATCCGTACGTCTTAGACGATAGCCCAGCCGTCGTGTCGGTAGGACAACGCTGCATTGATGCAGGATGGAGCTTCCATTGGCCCGCTTACAGTAAGGCCATACTTCAAGAAGCCAGATGGCACTAAAGTCAAACTTGAAGTAGAGGACTATGTTCCATACTTACCATCAACAACTGGTGTTGCGATGTCCGCCATAGGTCAACCTTATGGTTCGAACGAACGGTCGGGGGGGCCACGACCTATGATCTCTCTTCCAGCATCGCCGGCTGAAGAGGCAATTGAAGTCTATGACGACGATGACAATCCCATCGGCGAAGATCCTGTTGAAGATGATCCTGAGCCAGTGGATGAAAGATTGGTGGAAAAGCCGTTGGACCCGAAGAGGGATAGGGGAGAAAAAGCTCTTAAGGAAGAAGCTCAGTCCGTTCAGCATCTGTTGACTCACACCCCGAAGAACCCCTTTTGTCAAGCCTGCTCGAGGGCGAAGATGACCAAACGTCCATCGTATAGCAAGGGTGGTTCGACCCAGGTGGAGGCGGACCACTTCGGACAACATTTGACTGCTGACCATCTTGTTATTCGTGACGATGAGGAAATGGACATCGATGGGGCTCGCGTTGCATTGGTCGTGAAAGACGTAGCAACTGATTTCAGGTATGTCTACCCGGCTGCACGTCGATCGACGCGTGAATGCATAGCAGCCTTTAAGCATTTTGTCCGTTCAACTGATGAGGTAGGAGTATTTTATTCCGACAACTCACCAGAACTCATCGCAACCGCCGAAAGGTTAGGATGGAGGCATCAAACCAGCTTTGCATATGTCTCCAAGACTAATGCTATGGCTGAAAGATCAATTCGGTCCGTCGTCGATGGAACAAGGGTAAACCTAGAGCAAGCCGGTCTCCACCATCAATATTGGGCTCACGCTGCTAGGCATGCATGCATGGCAAACAATATCGTCGACGCCCGGGAGGGTAGTTCGCCTTGGTCGCTTCGGTTCGGTGAGAAGTTCAAAGGCCCTTTGGTTCCCTTTGGGTTGAGGATTGATTACTGGATCGGCCCCAAGAACAAGGCCAAATCCTCTCTCAGGTTCGAGCCAACATCAAACCCTGG